CACAGCTAGACCCTGTCTCAAAAAAGACACACACACACACACACACACACACACACACACACACACACACACAAAAAAAAAAAAAAAGAAAAAAATTAAAACTATCATGTTACAAAAAAGGAAACTGTCTGCTCAGGAGATACCCAGGGTTTTCTGACACATCAGGCTTTCCTGACTTTGGGAGGTTTTCTTATAAGCCCAGGCCTATAGGTCAAGAAACAGTCTGAATTCTTAGCAAGATTTTAGTCATGAAGCAAGGTTCCATGAAAGTACACTTCTATTTTCAAGCCTGGCAAAAATGTTAATAAAATGAATACGATGGCACATACACCTGATCTGACCCATGCCTCAGTGAGGCAAGTTTCTTAACCTCTCTGGCCCTATTTCCTTACCTATAAAAAAATAAGGGGTAGGGCTGGGGATTTAGCTCAGCAGCACAGCACCTGCCTGGCAATGCAAGGTGGTGAGTTCAATCACAGAAAAAAAATAAGGGGTGGGGGGTGTAAATCCAAATTCTTTAGAATAAAAGCACCAACACAAAGACTGGCACATGGTAGACATTCAGCCCTCTCGTTTCTTCCAAGGCCCCGGTCTGTCCCCTTTTTCCTCCTCTCACACTTCAAGAACCATTTTCTGTGTCTTGGGAAGTCCACTCAATAAGTCACTACTAACAACCTCACTGGTAATTTCCCAATGTTAATGTTCTGGCCCAGCCTCTTCCTTTTGCTGTAGCTCAATGTAGCCAACTGACCATCATCAACCCATTCTCATTTTTGAATGCCTTGATGGACTGAAATAATTCCCCTCTAAACGTTCTTCCTGTTTGCCTATAGCGGTTGCCACCTACACAGTCACATCCACGCAGACAGCAGTCAACTGGTCTCTTCCTCACGCTCTTCATGGCTCCCCATCAAGTTTCCTATCAGGTCCTTAGAGATTCGCCTTCTTTCACTTCTCTGGTTCTGGCTGCTTCCACACCCATGGACTGGCCCTCATCTTGGTGTTTGATCTTGTGTCAGGACCTCACAGCAGATTTCTCTTCATCCCTCAAATAAATGGCTATCTTTCCAAGGCTGAAATATGAATAACCGTCTCTTCTTTTTTTTTTTTTTTTCCTCCGGTACCAGGAACTGAACTCACGACCTTGCGCTTGCCAGGCAGGCGCTTTTGCCGCTGAGCTAAATCCCCAGCCCCATAATAACCGTCTCTTCCAAGGGCTTTCTGATACATCAGGCTTTCCTAATTTTTGGGAGGTTTTCTTCTAAGCCCAGGCCTACAGGAGGACAAGGCACTGCCTGAATTATCAGGGAAATTTTACATCGGCCCCATATCCTTGGCTTCAAAATAGCATCTAATCTCCTTGGCAAAGAATTCAATCAGGATCCAGTCCTGCCTACTAGGTGCTCCCAATTGGGAATTCTGATACTGTAGGAGTATCAAACCAGCTTAATACCTAGCCATAATTAAGGGTGCTACTCTGACATTGTTTCCTCTATTTACTAAACCTGTTAAATTCTTTTAAGAATTAAGTCTTGCTGAGCATGGTGTTGCATGCCTGTAATACCAGCACTCTGGGAGGCTGAAGCAGAAGGATCACAAGCCCGGCCTAAATGACTTGGTCAGAGTCACCATTTAGACAGGGTCTACAGGACCCTGTCTCAGAATAAAAAATAAAATTAAAAGAACCTCCACCTTTAAAAGGATTCAGTGGGAAGGCCGTGGGTTCGATGCCCAAGACTACTAAAACAAAACAAACAAAAAGATTAAGCCTTTTCACAATACCTTTATTACAATACCTATCAAACAAGACTTTCCATACTTGTCACTGCATTATCTCCTTTGCTCAACAGTAAACCCCTGCAGGGCAGGGAGTCGTCCACTGCAGCCAGGTGCCGGTGTCGTGCAATTCCCGAACTACTCAAAGTGTGGGAGAGCCCAGGGGAATATAAAGGACACAGAATGGGAAATGGTGAGAATAAAGAAACTGATGTTTGGAAATGAATTATTTTCCCCTAAAAGGGAGTCTATGCCGGGAATCTAGCTCTGTAGCACAATGTCTGCCTGGCAAATGCGAGGTCCTGAGTTCAATTTTCAGTACCAAAAAGAAAAAAAAGAGAAAAGTTAGTCTATACACTTTTGTAGAAAACGATGAGATTTAAAGATTTCCAGGAAATGAATTAATAAACTACTAAAAAGAGGATTAATGATCAACAATTTTCCTGACAACTGGTAGAAAAAAAATAGTTCACACATATTTCAAGCCACTACTGTGGGGAAAATAGGAGACTGTTTATGGGATGAGTTTCAAAGCGCAGTGCTACTTCAAACCAGCACACACTAACATTAACCAAAATACTGTAACATTTAACCCAAATAAAATTTCTTACAATTGTTGCAAACTATACGAAACTAGTCTTTAGCTCGGTTGTAACTTCTGTACTTTCATAGGAAATATAGCTGTGACCTTAGTGTTCCTGATGCAGAAAGTAAACCTACTTACCGGAAAAACAAACACCTTTCTTTTAAGACTGGATTTCCAGATTATATCTATAATTAGTTAGAGATACAATTAAGAGAGAAACCAAAGAACCAAAAGACAACAGAACAGTTTCAACTAAAATTCCAACAGAACCAAAAGGTAAGTGTAAGAAACACAAGCACTTCTGTGGACAAGAGAAACCAGGAAGAAAGTGACACTTTCTAGGGCTTCGTTGGACTTTCCTGATGTAAAATGGTTGAATTACAATTGGAAAGGCGACATGGAGTTGGGGGCAGTGCCTTCGCAGAACCGGTTTCTGAAGGTGTGGGAAGGGGCCATTCACTCACTTTTTCCAGCCAACATTTACAGAACGTTTGTCTCGACAAGGGTAAGTGAGCCAGGCCTTAGTTTTTATCCTCGGTAAGATGTCTGCTTCCCAATGTTATGAAGACGAGAGCAGCCAGTATTTATTAAACACATCACTTGCTTAATTATTCACCAGTCATATGATAGGTACTACCGCTGTTCGATAGGTGAAAAAATTGGACCACAAAACTACCTGTGACCATAGCTTTGAAACCCAGGCATGCTTAAACCCAGAAACTTTTCAACTAATCTAAGTATACTTCATCAAATGTGTTTCCATTCTTCTCATTTATATTCCATCTCTGAAGTTCAAAAAATAACATTTCTAAAGCAACCTACTATGGGTCTGTGCACGGTCAATTAATCTGTTTTCACAACAGCTTTATGAAGTTGGTTTTGGTTTGAAATAAGCTTAATCTTTCCCCAGTGAAAAACTTGTTTCACATGAAACATTCACAAAATGTTTTGCTGACATAAATATGACCCACGAGTCAAGTTTTCTCAAGAGCTGATCACTACTCTGGAGAGAAAAAAGACTGACCAACTAGGTCTCAGATATGTAGAAATAAAAGTACTGTGAAAAAGCAGCTTTGCAGCTTGTTCTCCGGCAAAGTTCTAGAATATGCTGCCTATTAAACCTTTCACCTTCAACCTTCCACAAAAGAAATACAAAGAGAAGGCAGCAGAAGCCTTGTCTGCGTCTTTCCCATTCTAACCCACTCACTTTGATAAGCCAAATTTCTACTGTACATATCTGAACCTGGAAAACTGCTCAGTTCTAGGGTTAGGGATATGACTCTGGTACATGCCTAAGGCCTGGCTTCAATTCCCAGCACATGGAGGGAGCTTAAGTTATACAAGCTCCATCTGAAATTTCCCAGGATATGGAAATTATACCACTAAAGTGGGAAAAACAAACCAAAAAAAAAATCCGGTATATTTGCAAAACACCTCATATAATCCTTTTAAATACATGACCTAGAGAAATACCAGCCCAAAGGGAACCAAGTTTCATCTTCCAAGGTTTTTCATTTCCTTGACATTTCTCTCTATTCATTTCAGAAATGCACCATACTGGTTTACCTTTGCACTTGTAATCTGGTCAATCAAAACATAGGAGGAATGTGTTTACTTAATAACAAAAGAAAAGCAGATTTCAACTGGTGTGGATTTTCTGGTGTCTGTGAGCAGAACACCCAAGGATAGTATTTCCCAGTCATGGCCATCTCCAGATTCTAACTCTCAGACTGACTCAAATACAAGGGAAATCGTGAAAGAAGCAACAGACATGGTGCTGCTTTCTCGGGTGTCTAGACTACAGGCAAACCCCAAATACCAAAGAAGCATCCATGTGTCAAACCAGCATAATTTTTGAGCTATGCCTGGGGCCACATGCTGGGGGGAAAAAAAACCCTAGCCTGTAAAGAAAATCTAGGAGGGGAAACCAGAAGGTCAGCCCCCGTCCACAGGAACTGGGGGAAGCTCGGAAGGCTGGCTGGCCATTAACCAGTGTCATCTTCCTGAGCAGCTTCCTCCCGGCTCCCCCCCGCAGTACCTCAGAAAAGCACAACTCCCGAAACGCTCGGCGGCTCAAGGTCGTCCGGAGATAACCATCAAAGTCCTGCATGCCTTCAGGCCAAAAGAGATTCCCCTTCCCCCCCACCCAATCATCAAGTAAATAGCTCAAATGCCATCCGACTTTTCTCCGGAACCCCACCAGAAACAAGCATCCAGACTTTAATTTAGACTGGATAACTAAATGTGTTGTTTTACAACATAAATTATTAAGGGGCTTTTCGGCTTGGGCAAAGTCCAGTTCAACTCAAAAAGCAGGTGCTTTCAGCGCACTTTTTAACGACAAGGTCAAATTCGCTTTAATTATTAAAACGAAAAGGAGGAAAAGTTGTCTTAACCTTTCTGAAGGACTGCTTGGGTAAAACTACGACAAAGTCCCCGTTTGGCTAAATAGTAACTCCTCACCCTCGGACTGTAAGAAGGCACGCAGGGTAGGAGCAGAAAACAACAAAGAGCGGGTCAGAGTTAGCAGACGAACTGCACCCTCGAGCCACCCCGAGAGCACAGCCTCCGCCCCGCAGAGACCTGCCCTCGCGGCTCCCCCCACGTAAACACACAAAGGCCCGCGGCGCGCGTCCGCCCGGGCTTCCCCTGCAGACGAGGACGAGCCGGAGCCCCGAAACTTCCCGGGGAGGCTTTCCGGGGGTCGTCGGGCTTGGGTCCCCGGGACGAGCGAGCCGCAGCTCGGCGGAGGAGGCGGCGCTCGCCGGTTTCCCGGAAGCGGCGCAGCTCCTCCCGGGCACTCGGGACCCTCGGAGTCCCCCGCCCGAAACCGACGCCCCGCCGGGCCGCCCGCAGGGCAGGGCGGAAGGAGCCGCCGCGCG